AAAAACAGTCATATAAACGCAGATGTTGCATATATTAATTCAGTTTAATCATATCAATTCTTAAACAAAAAAATTCCTCCAAGAGACAATAGTTCACAATAACTGCAAAGCTTACTCACAACTTTTAAAAAAGACCGGTCATGCTTAGCATTCAAAGAAGAGATTATAGAATAACTGTAAAAACTTTTACCAGGAACATCAGCTTCTGACTTTAAAAATTACAAATACTGAAAGCATTTTGGTATCAGACACAGAAGTTTTAATGCTGTCTGTTCATTTGATGAGTTTCTGGATGTTTGGAAAAGTTGTATCTATATAGTTGGATAGAGCACTTATTCTAAACTAAACATTTTCAAATGTAGAAAACAAACTAGCACGCTATACATACAAAGGAAAGCCCCCTAGGACAAGCTCTCCACATGTTGAATGCCAGCATATGCACCGTGAATCCTGGAAGACTAGAAATGATACATACACTTGGCCTGAAAGCTGACACTCGAGGCTCAACAGTGGAATTTGCATTCACCTACACATTAATGACAAACTCTGGATTTGTATAGGAGAAGCCAGCAAATTCATTTTGGTCCAAGTTCATGATGAAGAGTTTATCAGTGGGAGTGAGTTCCACAGGCTGTCTTGTGAACTCTTTGTCGAAGTTGGAAGTGTCTCGCTTGTCTCTCTGCCAAATGGAAAGCAAAAACATTAACACAGCACAAGGAGGAGGAAATATCACCAAGACATGCTGGTTACCAGGAAGCTGATGACATCTCAGGGGCACAGTCACAGAGAATCCTGTGCTCGCAGGATTTTAGCAGTTGCATGGCACACACTTATCCCTGGCTTTCATTCCACACTGTGTGTTAGCTTCAGGGTAGAGTATTTGGTAGGAATGTTCTCAAAAAGGAAATAAGTCATTAAATTTTTTAAACTATTGTGATGAGTGAGTGTGTGTGTGTGTGTGTGTGTGTGTGTGTTTTCTCTTTGGCTTTCAGATGAACCAGTTGGAAACTACTTCTTCATCATGCTCAACACTCATAGAATTAGTCACAGGGTAGATAGAACGTCCTGGAGAAAGTCGTCCAACTGTGACTCTTGTGGCAAGGAGGTCTCTTTCTTTGAAAAAGAGAGATCCTTCACAGTCACTCAGTTCCAAAGAAGGCAGCCTGGCTTCATGGAAGGAAATGACTATTGCCAGCCCACACTCACTGGCACAATCGAGGCTTTGAAGGGGCTGCTCAAAACCTTCTCTGCTAGACTAGCATCTGTGTCCTTCTCAGCCAGGGGCTCCCTCCAAGGATGTTACCAGCATGCATAAAGTTAAAGTGTAAGCGATAAACCCAAAGCCTAAAGTAAGATCTGGAAGGGCAACTAAAAAGCCCAAATAAAACCTAACTTGATTCTTCTAGTTGCTCTGGCATTTCTTTTGGTTCCTTACAGGTCTCGGTTTACTAAGTAGTCTGACATATGTTTCACTAGGGGGCTATCAGAGTGTGGACTAATAAAAAGATCTATTTGTATGCTGACACTTCATCTCACATATTTTGGGCATGTCACCAGGAGACCAGTCCTTGGAGAAGGACATTATGCTCCGCAGGGTGGATGGTCAGTGCAGGAGAGGAAGAGCCTGGATGAGATGGACTGACACAGTGACTGGGTCAGTGAGGGCTGGTGTGTCAGAGACAGAGAGATTGGCTCAGGATGCAAGAGGGTTCAGAGCTATTGTTCATAGGGTCACTATGAGTCGTAGTCGCCTCAATGGCACATAACAACAACTATCAGTGTGTTGTATATTTTCTGGTTCCTTCTCAGTCTGTCTTCTGTTTCTAGTCTCACCACATCCACCTGTAAGGCAGGTAGATCCCACTTGTCGTTACCTGACATGAGAAAAGTTTGGCACAGAAAGGTGAAGTAACTTACCTAATCTTACTCTATGGGTTGCATTATTCCCTGAACACACTGTTACTAATTATTCTCTGCCTCTTCTCTTCTGACTGGGAGATTAGGGGGAGTTGGAGGTCCAGCCTCATGGCTGTCATATCACAGGGTGGCCAAGGTCAATGCATTCTCAGACAAGTGTCTGGGTGTCATTGGTATTAGCCAATCTGTTCGGCTGACAGCAGAGCTGTGGCAGGCTATAAAGAGGGAAGGGTCAGTGAGGATTGCTGGACTTGCTATAGTTTGGTCAACTACCATTCACGTCCCTGGTGGACACTGACTAGTCATTGAGATTTCTCACTGATGGACTCATTCTCTCATCTAGAAAACCTTTCAACAAGGATTGGTTTCTGTTTGCTGCTCCCCAAGAGATAGGTATAAAAAGGTCCTATTTAAAAAGGTGCATGTGTGGTGGATGGGAAGGAGGCTAGGGAATGTGAACTTGGGAATGCAATTAGCTAAGTGTGGCCAGGAGGGAGCACGCTGAAAAAATGCAGATGGTGCTGCTTTCCACCATGGGCACAGTTCAATCTTTTCTAGACGCTGGGCCATCTCCCACTGTGGCCCACCCGTCTTTCTTTGTCTTGTCCTGTTCTGCACTGGGAGAGGCTCCATTCCCTCATACTAAGTGTGCTATTTCAGTGTTGGGATAAAGGCTCTAATGCCACCTCTTCACTTTGTGTTGACTGTGCAGCCATCTCCTGATCCTTCCCACAAATCTTAAATTAATTCACTGACTTAATTGTCATTAGAAATGTCCTTGTTTGCTTCTCCCTGCTTTTTTAACACTTCTCTCCAAGAGAGCAGGTCTCTTGTCTGTTTCTTCATGATTGTATTTCCAGGCACAAGAAGAGAGCTTGACTACACAGGAGCCCGTTCATAACTGCCTGGTGAATGAATAAAGCTTTGACTATAGAGAAGCTCCTTTTCTTCTCCATCTTACAATCAGATGCTCTCAAGCCAGGGACTTCCCTGATGCCTCGTGGTTTTCCACGCTAATAGCTTGCTGTGTAAAATGAAATGCATTCCAGAAAAGAAGACTCAAAAGCAAAAAAAGAAAAGAAAAGAGAAGCGCTATGCCTGTTGATCCTAATGGTGCTGCATATGACGCGCTGTCCATTCTGGTCTCAGTATGATCTGAACTGTGCTACTGAATTTTTGGCACTCAACATAGAGCACACAGCTGGGGCTCCATAAATGCTGATTGAATGAATGAATGAAGCATAGAGCAAATGAATGAATGCAAGAATAATGTGTGAGGTGGTGGTGGGGTTTTTTTCTGGATAAATGTTTTTTTCTGCATAAAAAGTATTTGCAAGAGATTATATATGCTCAAAGCTCTGTTTCTTGGTCTTCTCTGCATCCGGGATATTGATAGAAAAGGAAAATGCAGGAATTCCTGCTTCCTTTACTTCAGCAGAAGGCTTCTCTGACCAACCCTTCACAAGATACTGTAGGGGAACAGAGACTCTAGCCTGGGAATCTCTTTCTGCAAACCATGAAATTTTTGAAAAATAATGGCAATGATCTGGAAAATGTAGAGTTCACTATGTATTTATATACACAATATATTCTCTTTATTATCTATCTATCTATCTATCTATCTATCTATCTATCTATCTCCATCCATCCTACGTTGCTCTCTAAAGTTGTCTCAGATCAATTTTTCAATGGCCTGACATTTCTTCATGGTTTTTATTTTCTTGAGAGCTTGTCCATGGAAGTCCTAGTGACCCAATCACTAGATGAAGGACCTCAAGGAACTTGTTCACTGGTGGGACTGGCTCAGAGGCAAGCACGACCTGGGCTCTTACTGCACTGTTTTACAGCAGAAAGACCCTCCTGCTGAGGTCTGGACATTGGGTGCACATTTCAGCTGGATGAGCTTGGGCAACTCAGTTTTCTCTTCCAGATGCTGATTTCTCCAATGGTCAATTGAGGGGGAGGTTTCCCCCCTTTCCCTACCTTTCTAACCTCACAGGCTTGCAACCTAGGACTTCAAGCTTGCTATGTCTTAGCCCCAGGTTATAGCCATGATGGCAGCAGCTGGGCTGATCACAAAAGCCTAGAGCAAGAAGAACAAGGCTAAGAAGGAATGAAGTGTGCAGAGGTCCTGCCTTAAGCAAAATTTCCCATCAGAGTTTTCTTCCAGATGAGAAATCTCACTTCCAGGACATTTGTCAAGTTTTCAAAATTCCCTTGATCTTCTCTCAGGAGACCCAGAGCTTATGGCAATCCATTGAATTATGGTAAGAATTCTCACTTAGGGCTCTGAGGGAGTCAGGAGGTAGCAAACAGGAATGAGGAGTCACCTGCTGTCCTCTGCTCAGACAAAAAGAAAATTCTTCCCTCAAGGGACTTTCAGGGTCTCCGGGTCTCACAAAGCCAGTTGCTAGAAAGAATATTTAGTCTTAGTTTGGAGGAGTGACAATGTTGTTAAGAAAATCATGAGCCCTAGCCATGTTCTTAGCTGGCTTCTAAACTTGAATCTGGTGGGAATGGGGATGGTGAGCTCTAATCATCTAAGAGTCCAAGGTCACGTTTGTCCCAAGCGTCCCTAAAAGGCCCTGCATCTTTGACTGGCTGAACAACAGTGCTGAGACTAAGGTATGAATTGAGTGCCTTTTTGCCCTGAAGCTGCAGGGAGTCCCACTCTGAGTGTGACTCTATATTTTTCAAAGAGATCAGTGTTCCTTGAAATACCATTTCGTCCTTTTTTTTCCCTTTGAATCATCTCAATGCTAGAAGAAAAATGGCATATAACAGATAGTCAGATACAAATGGACATCCCACAGACATCTTGCAAAACAACATTAACGTTAAGAGTACAAACGTCTTTGTTTCGAGAAATGAGGTCTTTCCGACGATTTCAGTGGCTTTCCAAAGCCAGCCACAAACCTAGGCGAATCCGGAGCCCAGAGACATGGGTCTGCTGGGCTCCAGAGTGGCCTTCTTGCTTAAATCACAGCTGGTCATTGTGGTCAGTAACACTTGGACACATATTTTTACAGCATGGGAGAGAAAATGAGGAACCTTTTTTTCTCAGGGGGCAGGGAAGAGGGACAGCATTTGAACAACAGAAATAAAACCCCAAAGCAAACAAAGTTTGAAATGTAATGCAAAATTGTGGCCCTTGGGGAGCCTTTCTAGAGTGACCATGTACTTTCAAAAAGTGGAACCAAATGCCCTTTTGAAGTAGTTTGGGGGTGAGGCAATTTGGAACATCCAGCATCAGAAATCTGAGTGCTGAGGCAGCACCTGGGTTGGATGCCCTTTGGCCCCTTGCAATACTTTTAGATAGAAACTATCTAAAAGCACAGACTTGGAATTTTAAAAGGAATTAGATAATCTTCTTAACTTTGGGTTTTGGAAGTAAATAAAATTCTTCTCTTCTGTCTGATCTTTTCAAAGTCACAGAGCCTCCAAAACCACACAGAACAGAGGGGCTCCCTCAAGGCCAAAGCAACCATGTGACCTGGGTGCAAGCAAAAATTCCAAGTCCAGAAGCAGGAGGATCCTCCCAGCAGCCAATGAGCTACGCTTTTTTGGTCACAGGAATCGAGATTGGATGGCTTGAGGTTGGAGAGCGTGTAAAATGGGGCCACTGAACAAGAAGGCTTGAAGCAAGCAAGCGTTTCCTCTCCCTATTGGATCTCCTCAGTGGGCATGCTGGAGAAATAAATTGTAGGAGGATGTTGCAAACGTGTTAATTATGCAGCAGCAATTTTGTGTCTGTGCATGTGTGTGCACGAGCCATCTGCATAATCCAATCTCAGAGAGATGCTCCAAACTACCTGAGGATATTTGGGTTTTGAAATATGGTCACTCTAGTCTCATCAGCAAATAAAACATGGATGCAACTTTGCAATGGAAGAGAATGTCACCATGAGAGTCGTTGAGTTTGAATGACAGCAATGAAGGACGGAGATCTACGCATCTACTTAGCTCTTGACTTCAGCTTTTAAAAATTCAGAGTTAACAAAGGAAAATCCTTCGAATTCTGATTGGTCAATATTCCTGATGACTTCCTGGTCGGGAGGTGTTAGGACTGGTGGATGGCGAGTGAAAAATCGGTCGAAGTTTTCAGCATTTCGCCCACACTATGAGAGGGGAAGAAAAGAACTCGTGGTGGGTGGGGAAAAAAAAAGCTGAAACAAAACAAACTAAACAAAATCGGATATGGTTTCCTTTAATCCCACCCCTTTTACCACCTCAGGAAGAGGTTCCATTTCAGGTTTTGCTGTTTTTGTGTCGTATTGTGTTGTTGTTGTTTTTCTTCCCCAGTGATCAGAGATGAGTGCAAAATAAAACGAAAACCCTCATAAACTTGGGGACATGACTTTGGGTTCCTGACTCAGTGGCTGTGGTTGATAAATCGCTCTGGGCTTCCTCAGGAACCCTGTGGCAAAGGCATGAGATGGTGGGGCTGGCAGCATGGGGTATGTCCCTCCTTCCCCTCAGGAGGGAGGCAAGCTCATCTGTTGAGGGAGATGGGGTTAAGACACTTATACATGCGGTACCAGATGCAAATGAATGACCCATTTATACATCACCTGGGGAATTTCAATATCTAGCGGCAGATCTTTCACAGTGCTGTCCGCGGGCTCTCAGTCTCGAACCACCCGTGCCTCCTAGCTCAACAGAGTCCAGGAGTTTACCAACTCCTGTCAATGGAGACTGACCTGCAGGTCTGGAGCCTGTAACGTCTGTGGCACCATGAGATCCTGGTGAGCTCATAAGCTATTAACCCTGAGTCACAAGGTACCAGGATGTGAGCTCAGCTGGCTGTTCTGCTGCTAAGGAAGGAGGGGTGGGATGAGGCAAAACAGAACAGCTCCAGAGAGAGAGAAAAACATCACCATTTCACAGCCCTCCTGCCAGACATTCTACCCGAAATGGTGCTGCTCAAAGTCAGAAATGTTACACAACTGTGCATATGCATACACGACGTGCACGCTCGCACAAACACACACTCACACACACACACTCCTTCTCAAAAAGAAGAGACACTCATGGACACTGGAGGTCCTTGAACTTGGCTCTAAGTGCAAAACGCATCTGAACAAGATCTTGGCCTACTTCTTCAAGTACAATGTCTATAGGAGGTAGCCACAACCTAATAACGCAGTTGTTGTTGTTGCTGTTGTAGACTGTTGAGTCAGAATCAAATTATAGGCACATCCTCCAGCAGGTTTTCAGAAGCTCTAAATCACACAGAAGGAGACTGTCCATCTTTCTCCCAAGGAGCAGCTGGTGGTTTTGAACTGTGTGCCTTTGGGTTGACAGAGCAACTCATTACCATTAAGCCACCAGAGTTCCCTAAAAAATGTAAGTAATGACAATAATGGCTTGCAATCCCAAAGGCACACAGAATCCATGAGCTGCTCGGTGGGGGAAAGATGGGCAATCGCTTCCTGTGTGCTTAACGGCCTCTGAAAAGCCTCTGGAGGGTCAGCTAGGAGTTGATGACACACAACAACAACACTACTTCTCTGACAGTTTGTTGGGCTGTGGTGGTTTGTATGTTGCTGTGATGTTAGACAGGCCAGGCAGGAAGCAGAATGGATCATCCATTTCTGAAATAATGGCCTCTTGCAAAGCCTAGAAACCGCAGTGGAACATTGTTTGATAAAGTGGCAGAAGACGGGGCATCATGCGGAAGGAACTCAAACTATAACTGAGGAAGAGCGATCTCTTCAAAGCAGAGTCCACCTTCATGATGTGGATGCACCGGAGTTTTAGTCACTGAATGACTTTCGCTTACTGATCTTGCACAGCTGGGAATGAGGAGGAAGAGATGCAAATATCCACTAATAACGGGAATCTAGGATGTATCAATATGAATCTAGGAAGACTGGAAGTAGCCAAAAAGAAAACAGAACGCATAAAGATCATTAGTGAATGGAAGTAGATTGGTATTAGCCATTTTGAATCGGACAAGCACATGGTCTACTGTGCCAACCAGGACATCTTGAAGGGAAATGGAATTGCATTCGCAGTAAAAAAAAGAACATTTAAAGATCTATCCTGAAATGCAATGCTGTCAGTGATAAGAAAATGTCCAAGACCTCTTAATATGACGATTTAAATTTATGCACCAACCACTAAAGACAAAGATAAGGAAACCGAGTATTTTCACTATTTTCTGCAGTTCAAAATGGATTAAACATGCAGTCAAGATGCTAACTTAGTAGTAACTAGTAAGAATGCAAGTGTTGAAAACAAAGAGGAAGAAGGATCAGTAGCTAAAAAATATGGCCTTGGTGATAGAAAAGAGGCCAGAGGGTGCATGATAGAAGTTTGTACGACCAATGGTGCCTTCATTGCAAATATTTTTTAAAAAGAAAACATCTTGTGGAGAAACTGGAACCTTTATTCACTGTTAGTGGGAGTGTTAAATGGTGCAACCACTGTGGAAGGTGGTATGGCGCTTTCTCAAGAAGTTGAAAATAGAGATACCATTTGACCCACAAACTCCACTACTGGGAATATACCCCAAAGAGACCAAAACTGACATCCAAGCAGAAACTCATGTTTATCAAGGCTTTGTTCACAAAAGCAAGGGGCTGGAAAGAACCTAAGTGCCCATCAACAAATGAATGGATAGAGAAGCTGTGGTATATTCACACAATGAAATACTACGCTGCATTGAAAAACAAGAAACTCATGCAATATTATTCAAAATGGGTGACCTTGGAAGACATTATGCTGAGTGAAATATCTCAGTCACAAAAGGACAAATACTGCATGGTGCCACTGTTGTAAAACAGGACTGACATCAGGGTTGAGGGGAGACTGAGAAAGATGGGTTCAATAATGTATACTGCATTGAAACGGATGAAGGAGAAAACTGTTTAAAAGGGATATGTGATTAGGTATTTCTGTCATGACAGGAGTGCAGAGTGAAGGCTGCATAGTGGAGTGGACCTGGGGGAGGGATTGTAAAACAATGAAAGAATTTTTCTTTTACTTTTCAAAGAAAGGAGTGACCTGGGGAGGATAGGGGTGGGCAGGGAGAAAAGTGCAACAATGAATGAATGGAAATAAAAAAAAAAGAGAGAAAACATCTAAAGGAACTGTACATGTGGACGTTGACCGATGTTCTATGCAGGATTCAAACTGACTACAACTGTGGGAAGAGATGGTGGAGAGCTGAGGATCATCCAAACAAGACTAGGGGCTGACCTAGAACAAACCACCTATTGCTTATAAGCAAGTCTAAAGAGAGGAGGAAGAAAAGAAAAAGAAATCCATGAGAGTTGAACTATGTCTTGGCATATATCCAACCTGAATTCAGGAACCATCTCAAGAACAGATCTGAAACACTGAACACCATGAGCAAGAAGCAGATGATTTGTGGGATAACATCAAGGACATCATACATAAAACAGTAAGATGTCATTAAAAAAACAGGGAAGAAAGAAAATAGATGTTGGGGTGGGGGTGGGGAACCAACCCAGAAACTTGCTCTAAAATGTACAGAAACTAAAGCAAAAAGAATAAAGAAGTTAGAGAGCTAAATAGAAGAATTCAAAGGGTAGCTCAAGAAGCAAAAGCACGGTGTTATAAAGAATGCTCCAAGACTTGGACTTAGAAATCAAAAAAGGGACACACTCAGCATTTGATAAGCCTAGAGTTGCAGTATGTAAGGATTCTATGCGCAAAATATTGAGTGATGCAGAAAGCTTGAAAAAAAAAGAAAGAAAGAATACCGAGAGTCACGTATTAGGTCAAAACCAACTGGTTGATGTGGAATAAATCATTAAATGTACAAAATTTGATCATTCTACTTGCAGCCTTGTTTCTGTCTCCAAATCCATACTTTCGCACTCCTTTTCCTTCTTCATTGTTTCCATCTTCTGCACTCCAGTCACTAATTATCACTAACCTATCTTGATTGCATATTTGGCTAATTTCAGACTGTCAGCTGTGATAAAAGTCTTTAATTTTCTCCTCTTTAGTTATTGGCTGCTGGTGTGTATTTGAAACAGGTGCACCTTAATCTGTAAACTGACATCAGTGTTCCTGAGCACTTTGGAGAGATCTTGACAACAGATTTTCCCAATGCAAACACATCTTTTTCGTTTTTAGACTGCTTTTACCATAGCCTAGATCTGGTGGCCTGGTAGCAAGAAGCTGCGCCACAATCCCAAACGCACACGGTTTGAATCTACCAGCTGTTCCTCAGGAGGAGGATGGGCAGTCTCCTCCTGTGAGATTAACTGCCTCTGAAAACCCGTCGGAGGGTCAGCTATGACTCAGTTCTGACTCAACGGTACACAACAACAACAACATTGGTGAGGATTTTTTGTTTTCTTTTGCAATGGAAGTGATAATTAAGAAATCCAATTATTTTTTAAAAATCAAATGATAAAAAGTAATCAAATAATGTACTTCATTGGACAAGTCTGCTATCAAGGAACTCTTTAAAGTTCTAAAATGTAAAGATGTCACGTGTGCTTGACTCAAGCTGTGGTATATTCAATTAGTTTACATGCATGTAAGAACTGGACAATGAACAAGGAAAAAGAAAGAACTAAAGACTTTGAACAGTGGTATTGGTGAAGAGTGTCATATGTACCATGGATTTACAAAAGAACAAACAAATCTATCTTGGATGAAGTGCTTCCAGAGTGCTCCTTAGAAGCAAGGATGGTGAGATTTTGTCTCATGTACTCCGGATATGTTATCAAGAGGGACCTGACCCAGGAGAAGGACATCACACTTAGAAAAGTAGGTGGTCAGTGAGAAAGAAGACCTTCAATTGGACTGACTGACACAGTGACTGCTACAATGGACTTAAGCACAGCAGAGACTGTAAGGATGGTACAGAGTAGAGCAGGATTCAATGTTGTTGCATTTAGAGTGGCTGTGAATGAGAACTGACTCTACTGGCACCCACCATCAATATTTAGCATACATTTTCTATATTCCATAGTACATACCTGGCAAACTCTTATTTGCCCTGTTGTTGTTGTTATGTGACCGTCAAGTCGCCTGTGACTCATGGCAACCTTATGTACAACAGCCCTAAACCCTGCTCTGTCCTGTGCCAGCCTCACTGTCTCCGACACCCCATTACTCCAGTCACTGAATCAAT